AATTCTTTGATTTAGTATAGTGATACCTACTGAGAAAGCTGTAATCTGTAAGATTTTCGTCTGCTTTGTTCACAATTTATTCGTTTATGTTTTGACTGCATACGGTTGTACTTAGTAAAACAAGAACCTTACAGTATACAAACAGAGTAAACTTGTCCGTCTTCACTGTTCATCTTGCAGAGACGTTATAAACACATCTTTACAGCCATTTACAGTTCTCATTAAATAAACTCTAGCAGGCATTATAATATTATGGCTTTTAAATCTAGGTATTGCAATGCTAATTCATTAGGGTATGCCTGATTCACAAACCACAACAGATAACATAGTTGTTGACTTTTTGATGTAGCCATGCTTTGCAGACGGTACTTCATTTGTATAAGAAATATTTGTCTGATGTACAATTACCCCATATTCAATAACATTTTCTGAATATCGGAGTACCCGTCTGCAAAGCATGTAAAATCAATAATCATATGGTAGGGCGGGCCACGTCAGTTCTATCTCCCTTTTATTTCTTACTCCTTGGCTACATCAAAAAAGTGTAGAACTATGTTATCAGTTGTGGTTTCTGAATCAGGTATACCCCTCTTAAAATCAAGGATGACTTGAAATTATGTGAACAGCCCCAGCCAGAACTTGACAACCTTCTTTAAGGCTTGGTTTCCAATTCATTTACAACACAAATTATTCAGATTATAAACAGAATATTTTTCCTATCACAAATCAGCCATTTGTCGTTTATGATTTATTTGTTAATGTTGAATTGTAAAAACAAACAATTAAGGATGATTTAACAATATGACTCTTATTAAAAAATCTTTTTGCTTCTAATAGACATCTTTATTTATCACAGATCTAAGGCGCTGATTAAGATGTAAGTATATTTAATTAATTTTTAAATCAGTAAATTATAAAAATGTTTTATTTACAATTTTACTTTCTATAACTATCTTGATGCTTATAAAACTACTTTTACAGAGGTTGGCATTTTTGTACAGGGTGTCCCTATAAACATGGGAATTCAGTGACGAATTCGATATCGTCTCTGTTATGAATTAGCATTGTAATACCTAAATTCAAAAGCCAAATATTAGTATGTCTGCTAGAGTTTGTTTTATGAAAAGGGTAAAAGACTATAAAGATGTGTCTATAATGTCCCCGCAAGATAAACAGTGAAGACGAACAAGTTTACTCTGTTTGTATACTGCAATTTTCTTGTTTTACTATGTACAACCATATGCAGTCAAAACATAAACAAACAAAATGTGAACATAGCAGACAAAACTCAGTAGATATCACTATACTAAATCAAAGAATTATTTAAAAGACAACATCGAATTTGTCACTGAATTCCCATGTTTATTGGGACACCCTCTCAGAATATATATAATATAGAATAACAGGTGGCAGCATTTGGTTTGGGAAGTGTTGGACTGTGGAGGTTATGCAGTACAATACATAAATGTCCAGATGTTCAGTAATCTTGAGGGGATTTTGAAGATTCACTTTCCAAACTTTCTCTTGTTATCTTTTTATCTTTACTTCAATACTTCAAACATGTATTTTCAAAACTGTTTCCGATAGTTTTCTTCTTTACAAAATGTGAAACAGAAAACCAAAACAAAGTGGAAATAATTGGGGTATCTTTTCCGCCCCGCTTGTTATTTGTATAACCTAAAATTTTAAGAAATTACCGACCATACCATGCAAGAAAATGTGCACATTAAGGTGGCCACAGCGCTTGGCCAACAAGCCTGTTCATTCAAATTTAAAACCTTGTTTATAAAATCTTTTAACTCTTTTCTCTCGGAAGTCCTAGTTCCTTTAAGTCTCCATGGTCCTTTCTTCTACAAATGCAATATCAGGGAGGGTTGGGGGGGGGGGNAAATTAGGAAACTTTTAATAGCAAAAAAATTAGTAAAATTTGTTCAATTATTTATTTCTTTAACAATTCAAAATGGATAATTTGAAAGTTATTCTTTTTAAACAGTATTAGCTTAGTAGGTAGACATCCTAATTCTTCTTTTTTTTGTATTGCTGGATAATTTCGTTAGCAATAGATCCATTTTCTGGAATTTCTTCAAAACTAGAGGTGTACAATTCTTCTGTTGCCTGTTCAAATTTTCTCTTGTTGTTGGCAAAAACAAAAAAAATTGCAATGTCTAAAATTAACCAAATTCATCACAAATTTTAATTGTTAAAACAATATGGAAAAAATACTAAGATATATTTATGCACGCTTATACCCAAAATCATGAAATTGTGAGTAAAAATATTTTAAGGAATACAACAATATCTTTTAATTTAAAAGTGTTTAGAATCGTGATAACTACTAAGTGCAGTGTTTGGGTATTTAGGAAAACTCAGAAAATTTCAACAAATACTTTTTGAGTTATGTTAAAAAAACTACAGGGGGGGGGTCTCATTGTCTTCGCACCCCCCTGACGGATTCAGGGAGGGGGTGTATCCCTCCTCCTGAGATTTCAGAATAACTCCTCAATAGCACTTAAGAGAAGGGAAACCTAGTGCAACTGCAATACAGGAAAAATATCTATGTTAAAAAAACTTTTGTTCCTAAATCTGAATGTTTTTGTTCCGAAATAAATCTAGCATCCCCCCCTGTAAATAAGTCAAGACTCACCCTCTCCATTATCTATAAGGTGTTCCTGTTGATGTGGATGGTGGGTAGGATGGAGACTGGGAACAGCGTTATATAAATTAAATTTCGTCCGGAAACGTATTTGTTTTCCAAATGTTTCGCACAAACAACACTAAATTTTCCCGGAGTCCAGAAACCTGGCCTTCCTGTGAAGTTACTCTACGTTTTTTTTATCTTTTGGAAAAGAATGAAATCTTATCTTGTATGTCTGATCCGTGTTACAATTTAACACTGAACAATACCTCATGCTTGTTTATACTGAGAAATCATGTAACTGATCAAAACAAATCCCCCCAAGAACAGTGTACTAAATGTACACAAAAACATACCAATACATGTTTACAATGTCATACCAATACAGGTGCCACCTGTTATTCTATATTATATATATTCTGAGGACACACCCTGTATGATTGACAAGGATTTGTAACTTTTTGAAGATATTAATATTATTACGGCCAACATTATTTAACCGTCTATGTACGAAGCGGTCAATATCAACCGCTCACTTTAGTCACCCATTACCCCGTTATCGGTTTACAAATTAATTTTTGTTTTTTTTAAGTTTTGCGTATCTTGAGAACCCAGAAACCAAGTTCAAGCATATTTTTGCTTTTTTTGTTTTTATTCAGTGAAGATCTTGATAGGCATTGAGAGACATTAGACAAAAATGTTAACAAAGTTAACATTTTCGTGATTTTTGTTTAAAACAATACGTCTAAAGTAATTAATTTTTATATAATTCACATTTTAATGGTTTAATTATTGTTTTAGTATAATTTTGGCAGAAGGAATGGGAAGGCAGGATTGGGAAGGCAGGGATGGGATGGAAAGGGAGGGATGGGAAGGGAGGTACGGGAAGGAAACATGATTTATGTGAATGTACGGGAGAAAATGAATAATTTCTGAACGGTAAATATAATACTTAAATTTTATGAAAACTAGTTCTAGAAGATAGCAGGGGCTTATACAGGTTTGTACAGAGGGGACTTAAAACTTTTTTTTCAGGAGGGATGGGGCTCAGAACCCTGTGGGGTCTGAAACCCCCCAAGATTTCACTTAACCAGGGCTGACTGCTGAGTAATGTTATGATGGTTGAGGGGGGATGAGTAATGTTATAAAAGGGGGACGGGTAATTGCCCCCCCCCCTCTTTTAGACCTCTGTGTGTCAAGATATTTGAAGTACAAACTACAAACAAGCTGTGTCCAATGTTTAACTATAGATATATTTACTTATAATAGAAAAATCTACAAACTTTGCTTTGTTCCGGAGCGGTCGATTTTGGCCATTTTAAAATCCCGTGTTGACGAAGCGGTCGATACCGACCGCTGTGTCTATCTATAAAACTATGCATTGTATGAAAAAAAAAAATTATTTCTGTTCCTCAGAGAAAATTTCTTTAAAAAAATTGAAAATTTCAAAAAAAAATTTTGAAAATATTAATTTCGGACATAGAGGGTTAAATAAACAAATAACAAACAAAGATTTAGAGCTTGGCATGTGTCTCCAAAATGTAGGCGTCAAACCCACAAGCTCGAGAGATTTAAAGGTTTAAAAAATATGTATTTTTCAAAATAACAAAACAACTTCTAATTAAGAAAAGTTCCATTAACAAAATGGAGATCTTTTAAAATAACAAAGAGCAAAGACATTAATTTTTAAATCGTTATTGAAATGGTTTAGCTGTTTAAAAAAAAAAAGTTAGCAATTGAAAACAATAAAGAAATGGATTTTTTTACAGCGGTGAATCTTTTTTTTGCTTAAAATTGCATTAAGGTTAAAAAAAATACTTGAACATGTTTAGATGTTTTTAAATGTCGTCTTTTGTATTTTGTGCAATTAATACTTTAATAGACCATTAGCAGCTGAGCCAATGATTTCATAAACCGTTAATTCTGTAATAACAGTTGATGAACATTTCAGTTAACAACATTTAAAAAGTTTTTAAAAAAGTTTTGTTCTTACCCTCTAAAACTAACGGCTACCTGAGATTTTTTTTTAAGTTGGAACTAATTCCATTAACGAAACCTCTTTAAAAAAAATGAAACATCCCCAACCCTTTGTTAAGAACTGAAGAACAGTGTTTCCACTGCAATCAAATAAGTGCTCCATGAATATATTAGGCATGGTAATTGTAGAACAAATTTTTTGAAATTTTTTTATTAAGTAATTACAAAATAGGGCTTATCATGTAAACCCTAATATATTTTGTTCTAGAGAGATGAAGAAAATGAATTTCTGGAAAATAATGACTGCTAACAATAAATCTAGGATTACTGGTGTCTTGGCTAAATAACCAAAAGAATTTCAAGGTTGACAGTTTATAAAACAAAATTGTTAACTGTCTGTTAAATCAGATATATTCTCCGTTCCAGGGATCCAAAACCACTCTTTTTCCACATCAGATTTAGTTTTAATCTCACTTACACGAGTACCAGTAAATTCTTGGAAAGCTGCACTCTCTCCTCTTATCATTCCAAGTACAGCAGAAGAATCAGTGAAAAAATATCTCCTACAAAACTTGATCCCTAGATTTTCAGTGATTTTCTCCGCCAACCTAACACAAGCCACTGCTCCGAGCAATTCAATTCTTGGGATTGAAATCTTTCTGAGAGGAGCAACTCTTGTTTTTCCTGAAATCAATCTGCATTCAAATCCTCCAGGTACTGCCCATCTAGCGTAAGCAAGTGTACAAAATGCAGATTTAGAACCATCTCCAAACATCAAAAGTTCCGGCTCCTCATCCCGAGTTTTATCAGGTTTTATACATCTTGGAAATGATATTTTTCTCAACTCCTTCAGCATGGAGAGAACACTGACAAACCTTTCTCTTATTTCAGATGGAATCGGCTGATCCCACTCCAATTTTCTTCCAGATTCACCAGACAGATCTCTCATAATCAGCTTCAACCTTATCATAAACACAGAAGTTAGACCCAGAAGATCAAATTGTCCAAGGACGATTCTCCAGACAACTCTCTTTGTTATTTCTTTAGGCATCATATCTGCGACTTCGTCCAGTGCAACATCAGGAAGCTCCCTCAATCCTTTCTTTTTTCCACTCAGGTTTACCTTTACATCTATGGCTAGTGTATCAGCTCCAGTGTCCCAGTTCAACCCGAGTACCTTCCGAGGTTTCCCATCTTCCTGCACGTCACCAG